CCCCCCCCCGCCGGACTCTGGATTAAGGGGAGGCCAGTGAGGAAGCCAGAGATGTTGAAGACAGTCTTTTGACAAGGTGGCTTAAGTGAGGGGAGAAGAGCTCCCAGAGGGGAACAAGCAAGACTTGAGCTGGGACAGCGACACTCCTTCCCTCTCCTTTGCTGGGAGCAGCTGACAGCGGGAGGAGCCTGGAGCCAAGCCTGCCTGAGGGACACTGCGCGCTGCCCAGATCTGGATGCGCGCGCTGGGACGTGTCAACCTCTGGCCCCAGGGGAGCTTGGAGCGCCTCTCTGAGGGCGGAACAGCGTCCACTCCGGGCCTGTGCCAGGCTCCCAGGCAGCCGCCAGGTGAATAAACAGAAACCGCCTGTCCGTCACGGTGTCTGGGGCTCCCAGCCCCGGAACCGTCCACCAGCGGGATCCATGCTGGCCGCCAGGGGTGGGAGGCGGCAGGGGATGGGGGATGCTTTAGGGGGAAGGAGGACACACTCTCGAGTGCCCAGACGTCTCTCACCCCTTGGCGGTACTGTTCAAATAAACCTCCCAAGGGGATTCTGGAGGCTGGGGTGCATGCAGCACCCAGGTCCCCTTCCTGCCGGCATCTGGCAATCTCTAGAAGACTGACAGGTCAGGAAAAGGTGTGGCAAGGGAAACTTGGTCCCCTGGCTCTGTGGAAAAGCAGATTTTCTCACGGGTCTTCTTGATGGCCTTTGCCTCATGTTGGTGTGGCCCTAGAGGACCTAGTGGCCTCTTCTTGGAGAGCATGTGGGGGGTGGGGGGAGGAACCATGGGGGGATAGTGTTTTCCACTGATGCGGAAGACACTTTCCTCCAATCTGTTCCTCTTACTGCTTTTGAATCTTTGGAGCTGAGAACTGGTGGTTTGAGGACATTAATGCCAATTCCTCATTCTGGCAAAAAATAGTTAGGCTTTTCCTTTGGGGGCCAATTCTCTGTTACCCTATTCTCTAAGACTTTTGCCCTTGTTCTTTACTTGTGACAGTCATGAGAGCCAAAAGTATGGAGAACATTTAGCAGAGAATCTAATCACAGAGGCTATGTACAGGGTTAGGCAAGAAAACCAAGGACTTTAAGAGATTAGTATGCTTGCAGCCTTCCTCTGACATACTGTGGGGCCCTTATTAACCCCCACCCCCACCCCATCATTCACTGTTCCTGGGAACCTGTGTCTCCCATGGGCAGTGAGGAAATGCTGTGCTAAAAAGGGCCAGAGGAACTCTTCCTTGACCTTTAGGTCTCAGCCTAGGCCTTGGTCTGCTATGGGGCTTTGCTGCAGGGTTGGAAAGAGAAACAGATTTTGTGCCCAAGCCGGGGTGGCAGGATAAAGGAAGGGCTGGCTTCAGAAGGGAAGCAGCCAGCCGTTATTCTAAGCGTTCCCTGCCCCAGTGAGCGCCTCTAAGTGAATCGTGCAATTATGAAGAACCCCAGCTGGGAAGACAACATCATACTCCCCAGAGGAAGAGGATATAAAGAGACAAAAACAGTTCTTGGAATGGGGTAGGGAGGGCACCCCGGAGGAGACGTTAAAAATATCCCCAAGGTGGGGAAACTCAGAGAACTCTCTAATTAAAAAAGAAGGTAGTAGAGTCACTTCTGAACTCACCAGCAGCCCAGGGCTGTAGTCAGGATGGCAAAGGGGCAGAGTGCTACTACAGGTGCTGGCGTCTGTGGACAGCTTTGGGGTGGGGGGGAAGGAGGAGGACAAAGCAGAAGGCTAAGGACGCTGAATGGGTAGGAAACGACTCTTTTCAGCACTACAGGAGACACAAGGGAAGGTGGGTTCTGGAAAAGGCCAGCCTCCCTGGCTGCCTCCTTTGCCCCCCCTCTTCTGCCATTCCCCGAGTTCTCTCCCTGTTCATTCTCTCACATACCTGCCTACCTGTCCAGAGTCATAACTTAAGAAACACAGTTGCACTTTCAGGTTGAAATTTTCATCAGCCAGAGAAATTTAAAACACAAGGCAAAACAACAACACAAACAAAACATATCCCAGTCTTTAAGAATGTTTTTAGTTTTAAAAAAATTCACAAAGTCTGATCTTTCAGGGCAGAGTGACCAGCCTCAGTTGGCTGTGAACCCCAAAGTTTGCTGGCAGCGTATACATACCCCTAGCATATGACCCTGTGTCACTCAAAGACTCCTGTTATTGTCAGTGTTCCTTACATATTCACACTCAGTGGAAATGGATGAACACAATTTGTTTTGCTTGTTTTGCCCCAGAACAAAGGAGGTTTGTTGATATGACTGGGTTGTACCAAACCAGACACATTGCTTTCTAGCTGAACACCCAGCCTTATCTACTCCTGGACAGCAAAGCTCCTGAGTGAGTAATTTTTATGATAAAAATATTATAGCTAGATTAACCTTCATAGAGTAATTTTCTGAGCTTTTGCAGATCTCAAATATATGGAGGATTTTGCATCAAGCATCTCTTTTTTTTCTACCTTCTCCATTTCTCTCTTCTGAATATGCCTAGTACTCAGAGCTAAAAGAACCACCCACCTGCCTCACAACTGCCTTCTAGATTCTGCCCGAGAAGGCACACATATCTATAATATTTGTTTCATCTTTTGGTCCTGAGCATTGTTCCCTTAAGGTAAAGAAGGACTTACCCCCACCTCCTTGCTGTGGGTCTGTCACTCATGCCTTCCCCGGCCAGAGTGCAGCTCTCATTGCCTGTCCTGCAGCTCCCAGTGAGCTGGGAGTCAGATTACGGCCACTTGTCTGATTGGGTTTTTGGAGAGTAGGGGTGGAAAGATTCTGCACCATGTGGTAATCGCTAAGTTATATTTGAACTTGAAATAACTTTTCTGTACCTGATCACTAGAGACACAGGGCATTTCAGGAATGCAAAGATGTTTACTTACCTTATATTTTTGTAGCCAGTAATCTTTGAAAATGAGAATTTCCTCAAATCTTTATTTGAATTCTTCCAACCATAAAGAATTGTTGAGAATTTGTCTCTTTAGGTTATATGTTTGAAGGAGAAATTGAGTAACTGTCAGGAAACAGATTTGCATTATCCAGCAATTGAGATGAGTTGGGATCTAGGCTTCGGTGCATTTATTTTTTAGCCAATGAGATCTATGTGAAGTTTTTGATGAGAAGCATTATAAATACAGTATATAACTGCAGCTCCACTTATAGCACAGGTGACACTAATTTGAACAATAAAAAACAAGAAAAAAATAACAATAAGATAAGGAAAAATAAGACTGCTCTAGGGGGTAATCTGACTGTTGTATTCATAATAGTTTAAAGGTATGAGGCAGTATATTTTAAAATATAGAGGTTGGATGGGAACAACATTAATGGGAACTATAGGTTAACTTAATATCTAGAAACCTAGGGACAGAACTAACTGTGTAATTTGCTGGTCCCAGTACAAAATGAATACAGGACTCCTTGCTCAAAAGTTCTGTGAATTTCAAGATTGTGACAGCAGGGCATTAAACAAAGGGTGGGTGCCTCTGAATGAAGGACCTGTGTGGGTACGCAGGTTGCATGGTCGTGAAGACATCCCTGCCTAAAGAGTTTGGTGTATTCCGGGAGGCCTGATAATTCACTGCCTGCATCACCCACTTATCATTATTGTTTCTTTTTTTATTGTTTTATTTTAAAGATGTGGGGTACAATTCAGGATTAGGTATGTAAATGGTCATTGCTTCTTTAAATAGACTTCAGGTGCATGAAATTGGGATAATCATAATCCTTGGTTTATGACACCCTGTCATCACTGGTACATCTAGGGCCCTCTTATTTTCTAATAGTGAATTAATGATTTTTTAATAATAAACCCACTACTTAACCCAACAACTAGAACTGTGATAATAACTCACATCTACCTATGGGCCCCTCCCTTTCTCCACTTCGTATTTCAGATTGGATTTCAGAATTAAGTGTGGCAAGAAAGAAATACGGAAGAGAAAAGAAAAAAGACTGTTATGCTTTTAAATCACAGTTAAGCCGGGCTCGGTGGCTCAGCCTGTAATCCCGCGCCTTTGGGAGGCTGAGGTGAGTGGATTGCCTGAGCCCGTGGGTTCGAGACCCGCCTGGGCAGCGAGACCTCATCTCTACAATAAATCAAAAAATCAGCTGGGCGTGGTAGTGCATGCCTGTAATTCCGGCTACTTGGAAGGCTGAGGCGGAAGGATCGCCAGAGCCCAGCAGGTCGAGGCTGCGGTGGCCGGGAGTGGCCACTGCACTCCAGTCTGGGCGACCGAGTGAGACTCCAACTGAAAAAATAAAAATAAAAAAAATAAAAATAACAGTTAAAATATTTTGTTGTGATGTCTCCTTTGGGTGGTTGAGATGGGAATGGATGAAAAGCTCTCATTAGAAAGAAGAATTTAAAAATTGTAACTTTCAGAGGAGGACTTTACTGTGGTTTCAATCATTCTCTGATTGCTCCTCTCTCTGATGAGAGGGACGGGGGAATTTCTGAAACCGTAAAGAAGACTTAAAACCTCTCATATGAATTTTTAAAGCTCTTTACCATTTAGATTTTAGAATGAGAGTTTTAAAAGGTGCAAAACATTTGTTACAAATTTGGAAACTTTGATTTTCTAGGCAGATGTGCTAAATGTAATGACTCTGACCCTAAGAAACTCGAGTCAGGAGTATTTGCGAGGCCTGTGAACCCAAGGAACAAGGCTGTGTTTAGATGCCTCCTCATGTGTCCAGTGGTCAGATCCATAGGAATCCACAAAGAGTGGTGCTCCCTTAGACTTCCAGTTCGTGGGGGTACATTTTCCAGGCCCACTCTCCACAGGTTGCACTGGGCTCGTTAGCATTCTTGGCGTGGCTTCCTTGGCAGTTCCAGTCACCATTTTGGGAAGTGCCAGCAAAGCTTGGTTACCACGGTTTCTCAGACTCTTTCCCTGTTTTCTGGCTGCCTGATGTGTTGGCAGTCCAGTTCCTAAGAGATGACTGTTCCCATCAGGGAAGGGGCCACCCTATTTGGCACCAGCTCATGCACTTAGTACTCACAGCAGAGTGGTTTAACATTAACCACAGATTAACTCTTTACCTACCAGGGTTTTTCTGATTAAGTATTGCTGATTATCCTTTTTGTAATTGAGATGGTACTCCTGCTCTTCCTGCAATACTGTCAGCCCTGTGTAATAACCAACTACTTCCTTGGCTTTTCTTTGGACTAGGGACAGAAGTTTCCAATACGATTGTCTGTGACTGTGGATATGGGGTATGATGATGGAAGAAGGCAGCTATAATGTGCTTGTGGTGGTGCTGAGGCAATAGGAGGTGGGAAGTCCTGGTGAATATAAGTAATAGCTTCTATACTGAACTATTGTGACCTGGTCCTAGATCCAAATGAGATCTCAGCAGCCTGAAGCCCTCACTGGAAGCAGATGCTGGTGCCATGATTATTGTACAGCCTGCAGAACTGTGAGCCAGATAAACCTCTTTCCTTTATAAATTTCTCAGCCTCAGGCATTCCTTTTAGCAGCACAAAAACAGACTAAGGCACCGTCCCCACCCTATGCTCATTTTGAACTACCTTCTGTATGCTTCCGTAATACTTTAGTTTTCTGAATCCCATTATAGAATTGTACCCGGCATGCTGGAACCTTTAAAGATTCCATTGAAATCTTTAAAAAGGCCTAATTCATTTAAAGATGAAATAACAATTTATGAATTGAATCTTCTTGGCTTACTTATTCTACAGTGTTATGATCTTTGGGGAGAGGATAGTTACATGCCGCACTGATTTAAATCTGGTCTTCTCTGTCAGACAGCCTTGTGAATCGTTAGTTGAATAGCTTTGTGAAATTGTAGGTCAGTATCACATGAGGAAACTGAGAGAAGGATAAGTGAAAAGTAGCAAAAACTAGCTGTTTGACACACTTTGCTGCTGAATTTTTAATCTATTATGCCATACTGTTTTCCTTTGGTGCTGATGTATATTTTTGTGATTTGTGGACTCCTTCTCCCATCCTTGCCCTTAGAACTTTTAATATTTCTTCGTGTGTTCAGAGATTGAAAACTGAAACAAAAGCACTAAACATGCCAGCAATGCCTCAGTACCAGACGGGAAGTATCTCCAGGCTGGTAGGGGCAGATTCAATCGCAACTCATAAATCTTACTTTGCTTTTCATGAATCTCAGCATCATGAATTCCCCCCAGAGCACTTATATATCAGTATGTTCATTAAAAACTAACAAATAAACAGAACAACAATGGCAGTAGCAGCAGCAACTACAACCATCACAACAAAGGGCTTAATAGAGCTTTGTTCCCCTTTCAAAGAGACTTTACCTTATGGTTCTAATTCAGGATGATTTCTCGAAATATAGTTTTCCATCAAATGAGTAAAAGAAAAGTAATGATCAAAAAAACAGCAAGGAATCAAAATGTTTGATTTAGCCTCCTGTTCCTCAGTGAGGTAAATTTGAGAGAACCTGTCTTTTCGATGAATGTCAAACCTTTCACAAATAGTCAATATTGTCTGTGCCCTCACGCCCCACAGGTCCACGTTTTCATGTTTGATATAGCAGGAACATTTTTCTTGATTCAAATCCAGGCGAATTCTGCCTTGGCTGGGGAGTTGTACTCTGCTGACATTTAAGGCAGGAATTCCCTGGGAAAATAGTCAAGAGATTCTTTTGGAGCTGTTGGAAAAACTCCAAAGGGTTTAGGGTTCCCCTCTCTAGGCAAATAGAGAGAGAGAAAGGGAGGGAGGGAAAGAGAAACAGAAGGACTTTATTGAGTGACTGTATTTCATCTGAACCTGGTACAAAAAACCCCAGAAATGTGGTTGGATGACTGGATACTTTTCTTATCCCTTATCTCTTTACCCAGCTAATATGACAGCTCGGAGTTTGGTTGGGCATTTTGAAAGTAACTTAGACATCCACAGTAGAAAATCAGTTCTTTGGGAAGCAAAGGACTTTTGAATCTAATGAATTGGGATCGAAATGTTTGAAATGGTCGATAATCAAAGTGTAGTCTGTAGTAGTAATTGTTCTAGAATTTTAATTCAAATGTATTAAGAGCTAGGCCAATTTTTGGTGATCACTGTCACCTACAGTGATCATTACAAAAAGGTTCATATTTTAACAAACGAACAAAGATATTTCCAGCTTTTTTTTTTTTTTTTGAGTTGGAGTCTCACTCTCTTGCCCAGACTGGAGTGCAGTGGCTGCTCCTGGCCACTGCAGCCTCGACCTGGTGGGCTCCGGCGATCCTTCTGCCTCAGCCTTCCAAGTAGCTGGAACTACAGGTGCGCGCTACCACACCTGGCTAATTTTTTGATTTATTGTAGAGAGGAGGTCTCGCCAAGTTGCCCAGGCGGGTCTCGAACCCACCGGCTTAGGCAATCCACTCACCTCAGACTCCCAAAGTGTGGGATTACAGGCTGAGCCACCGAGCCCGGCTGATATTTCCAGCTTTAAGGACAGATCGAGGTGTTTAAAATTCTGAGCACACCAGGTATGACAGGCAGAGTAGGACAAAAAACTAGGTGGTTAAAAAATGCTTTTAGAATAGTGCTAGAAAAAGAACATTTTTCTAAGGAGCAGAAGTGGCTATAATCTGTGACCTCAAAAAGAAATGACTGATCCTCAACAGTCAAATAATTTAGAAATGCCCTTGAATGACCCTTCTAATAATACAGACAAAACTTTCTCTTGCTTCTTTCCTAAATTATTATATATCCTTCTCTTCAACTTCTGGACTTCCTTTTTTCCCCATTCATATAATCAGAATGACACATCTGAAATTCATAGGGCCTTAGAGGTCTCAAGTCTCGTCA